CTGTTAGGAAATACGTGACGTCACAGTTCTATAACGAGCTCTTAATTTAATACTTGTATCTGCAGGTACATTAGATTATCTACTACAGTGGATTACGGTTAATTGGGACAAATCTTAAAGAACATTCCTGGAACTTCGCATAATTGGGGCAGTCGTTTAATTGGGCCAAAGTGTTCTAGTCCCGATGTGTCCCAATTAACCACAATCCAATGTATATGCATTTTTAACAAACTTCATAACATTGTAAACTGGTATTTCACACAGCGGGAACCGCGACCCCTATGAGGGCCGTTAACTTTCTTTTCGGGGGTTAATGGTCTAATTACAAAAGATATAAGTTTATAAGAGAAAGGTTCACAGTTTAACACACGGCTTACTTAATAGATAACTTTAAGGTTTATTAGTTAATTATTATTTGGCATTGCTATATCACATTTTAAATCGTTTTTATGTTTTGTGGGCCTAATATTTTCTTACTCACATGAGATGAACCTGAGACGAAAATAGTCAGGGAACCACTAGTCTAGATTAAAATTAACAAGGAAATAATATCAAAGATTTCTAAAATTAATTTAATCCCGAAAATACTTTCAATTTATATGTTATTATCGTGTCTAAATAAACATCTGTCTAAAAGAAATCTTGGACGGTAAACCGGACGCTACGCTTTATACCACGTATGCCAAATAATCCGTAAGTTTATCACGTCCTGGTTTGAATGACGTCTTTGGCTTCTTCAAGGGGGTTTCCTGCCATTCAGTGTGTGACGCTGGGAGCATACGAAACTTCATTTCGCTTTCTAAAAAGAGTTAAAAAATTCATGCTTGCGTCCTTCTTACATGTAAAGAACAGACATGTTCAGTGCACTGCTTCTCCAGTCATGTTTTTTAAATGAACCATTTTGCTGTGCTTAGACACTTGATACGTTGGAAATTCTTCAACATCCTGTTCTTTGTAAGACTTGAGGTTTTCACAGCGGTGAGTATGAAGATTTCTGTCTTCTGGGTTGTTGCGCTGTGATGACGGAGGCAGCATGACCTCTGAAACGTTGGTTAACATCGACCAGACTACACAGCGCAACAACCCAGAAGACAGAAATCTTCATCCTGTTCTTTGATTGGCGTCTTGATGCAATGCGAATGGACATGAGTTGCGGGTAGAAGCCATAAAGCCCACTTTACTATTAAACAGTATTGTGGCCCTGGAAATAATGTTATGTATACGTTATGTAAATTTATTATACGACAATAAAATACGATTTAGATTATGGGTTAGCAGGCTGGTCGCATAAGCAACACCGACTCGAGTCAGAATGTTACAATTTAAAGCCCAGTGGTAATTATATGTCCCATCTGCTTGAAGAGCCAACATTCTTAGCGTAAAGAGGGATTATTTAGTTAAACAACATTAACTAGTTGATCTTCGTAATGTTAAAGACTTGTGTTTTCTTTGCGGTAGGGAGTGGATTCTTAAATAGAGACGAGTTTTGGCTTCAAAAAGTTTATGCAAATGAAAGTATATTACGTTGTATTGTTCATCATCAACATAATCAGTATTATCATCAGCAGTAGGATTTTCTTTCTGGGAAGAAATTAAACTCATTGCTTTGCACAGGTTTTGTCTACGTTAAAATATCCGGACCGAGCCACGAAATTTCATACATTTTCCATGATTATTTATTTATTTATGACACAATTTGAAACCTGAATATAAACATATTTCACGCAGCCGCCATGTTGTTTTTTTGCAATCTAAATTATTTTCCTTTGCAATGTCTATTACAGCATGATCTTTCAAGACCCTGCTCAAAATCTCGGTCCCACTCCGTGCAATCAGGTAGGTTGTTATGAACGTTTCGGAGGAATATATCGCAATAATTTTCAGGGTAAAGATGGAGGTGTTAGTAACTACCTAAAAGACTGTATCATACGAGGCTCGTCCACAAAGTAGTCATTCCGTGGGACCAACTTTTGAATACCTGTGTCGTAGAAGTCTGCCGCCTGGGATTGGAACCACTGTGTGACAGCCATCTCCGCCTCTCTGTCATTCTCAAAACGCTGACGCTGACGCTGACCGGACAGGAATTTCTTGAGGTGTAGGAAAAGATGGAAATCACTGGGAGCGAGGTCCGGGCTGTAGGGTGGATGATTAAACACCTCCCAGCTGAACTCCTGCAGGAGACTTGCTGTCCGTCGAGCCGTGTGCGGCCTAGCGTTATCACTGACCGCACTTCACAGTCGGCGGGAGCTGGAATAAGAACCTCCATCTTCAACAGCTGCAACGATGCTACTGTGAGAACGCGGGAAGTACCGTTAGTGCATGCGCCATGCTACGTCATTGCTCTATAACGTACGCACAGTCGCTTCGCGCAATATAAGGTTTGCTAGCTGTGGGACGAGTGGGAAACTTACTTTGTGGACGCGCCTCGTATCATAATCGAGAAGACAACAATCGATATAAGTTCTGTCGAGGCTATGGATAACCTCAGCAAATTAGACAACGTTTTCTGGTCTCGAAGACTCGGGTTTAGAGCAATTGTGGTAAGTGAGATGGAAGAATGGACCAGAAATAAGATTAAGCGCGTTGCCGTACAGATAGATGTTTCTAATATTGTGTTTGTCTATGGCGAACTTGATAAAACGGGCTTCTAGCCAACTGCGCTTCTAGATGTGAGGAAGATCAGGTCTTGTCTGCAGCATGAAGACTGTAATTACACAGAATTAACTGTCCTGGTCAGGATATTGAAGGAAATGCAGAAGTAGAAGGAAAGAAAACTCAGTAGGAATATGGAAGGGGAGAGAAATACGAAGATGAGCAAATCGAGTAAGTGAAAAAGAAGATGAAAAATAATGAGGAGGAGGAGGAATGAGAGAGAACGAAAATGTAATATAGTCTTTTAGGCTGACTCTGCGTGACCTCGGTGGTTACCAGAGTTTCGGAGGAACATGTCGCCTTCATCTTCAGAGTGAAATTGACCATAAGGCTTTACAACCAAGAAGACCACGATCGATATCTTCACCGCCTTGTAAACCTAAAATCTCAGAAAATTATTTTATTTTTTCACGGATTTCCCGGGTCCTTTGATGTTGAAAATAATAACTAACGCCATGATTTTTTTGAAACGTCAGTTTTTAAGTGGGTTAAGGAATACCTGTTTCTTTGAATACGAATCTCTTTATCACTATCCTCCATTTATGCCTAGGTCTTCCAATTTATCTCTCTCTTAGAGGTTTCCTTACTAAATTTTTGTGTTCAACTCTTATCAGCCTCACTGATTACAGACTTACTTACAAAATTTCATTTATAATATTGATATTAGATGGCAGTTGCTAAAACAGCAGCTTTCGTCCCATTAAAATACTTAGTCCGTTCGTACCGAATGGTTTTATCTTCTTCGTATTCGGGAGGTCCCGGGTTAAATTCTTGGCCTGCAGGCAGATATCCGGACTGAGCTTATCGTAGTTCTCCTTGGACACTCGAGATATATTCCAGCATAGAACCTTAAATAGGTCACGACCAAATTCTATCCTTATCCTTTAACTTCATTATTCACTACTCATTTGATTATCCGATGCTGTTTGTGAGCTACTGGTAACGTCGTTAAATAAACCATAATGATGTCGCAAGTAAATAAAAATAAGTCGTTTGTATGTGAGAAACTATTTTTTTTATATTTTATGACTCACGTTATGATGCCATTATTTTTGATAATGCCTCACAATTATAGTGTCGAATAAGAAATCGAAAAGAGAGAATTCCCGGACTACAGTCTCGCAGTATTTTATGAAAGTGGCGCCAGTTTGTATCATAAAACATTTGCCAACGCCAGCCAGTTTCTCGCCATAAGAAGTATCATTGTTCACTCCGTTTTTATAAGAATTTTGGCGCCATCCGTTATGAAATACGTTTAATGGTAGGCAAAAATGTGTCAGAATATAGCTAGAATATGGGGATAGTAAAAAGTGTCGTTCCTTTTTGCATGATTTCAGAGAGATTAATTCAGTGATATTAAAACTGAGGTCATTTTCTTTATTTTTCAGAAACGAGTGCATTGTGGGCTACATTAATAATAACCACGAATATTTCAGAATATTAACACAAACTGAAAACGTTATTACGTAGATTGAAATGTCATGAAACGAAATTAACGTGTCCATGCCCTGGAGAACACAAAGCATTCAGTCATTACTCGCTAAAATTCATTAAGCTTTTTTAGAGACTAAAATCTTCATTATTTTCTGCATAAATAAGTAAGTTTATATTAGACAACTGCTTTATTATTTAGAATCATACATATGTCATATTGCTCTAAACACATAATTGCTAATATATGATAATAATTACTCTATCTATTCATAAGAGAAATGCAATTTAAAAATCACACGTGGTTGATAAGTACTTCTGTGTGCCAGTACAAAAAGCAACCTTTGAAATGTTCTATTTCAATTAACTAATAACTAATTTAGTGTCTAAAAACTATAATTTATGATAGCAGTTTTTTTAGCATTTATATAGCAAATACACTATTCTTGTACGCAAGGTATTCACAAAAGATTGCACAGATTTTATACCTTAGTGTATAAAGTATTTTGTTTAACTAAATTAGTATTAAATTATCATGCGGTGAACGTGATTTTATTTTTACTAAATGGATTTTAAAATTATGTGATACTTCTTTAGTATAAGTTACACCAGCCTAACGAAAGAAGTGTAAATCCCTGAAATTCTAAACAATTTTTTTGGTAAAATTTAATTTTACAAAATGTAAGTCAACAACTTATTATTGTTCGATAAAAGCTATGCTGCAGTTATAAAACGACACTTTCTTTAATTACAACATTCTCAAATAAATTACTGCGAAAATCAGAGCCGCTGAAAATGCTATTATGTTTTGCCTTCCTTGCAGAATAAACTGTCTTTATTTGCCTTGCAATGACACCAAGATATCACACAATTCTAAACAGAATTCGCTTGTAATAGATTAAAAAAGTCCTACTCACCTAAACTTCGTCTAGATGAATCTTCGTTGCAGTCACATGGGATCTTCAGAAATTAATTGACGACTTTCCCCTAAATATAATTATTCTTCAGCTTCGAAACGTCGAAGTCTTATAATTTATAAATTTTGCCACATTCGTACATGAATGAGTGAATGAATGAGAGATGTACACCGTAATACTTGTTGATTAGTGTTCGTCTATCTCGCTCTTTTCCCGACAAACCACGTGGATTTTAACACGTATTTCCGTCATTTTTGAAATATATAGAATATAGTTTTAAATATTTGTTTAAATTATCATGTACCGAAATAATTAAATTTATATTTTTCTGTTTCGAAGTGAGGATAATAAATTTGAAGTAAGAGATGAGGGCGGATAGTGAAATTACCGCCGCGCGATGGGGTGTGTGTTCACCCCGGGCGCTACAGTCCAACTGTGAATCCAGGGAAGCTAGCCCCTTGTTGATGCTACTTACATTGCCTGGATAGAAAGAGGCCGACGCCATGTTCTGTCTTTATCACATGCGCGTCAGGACGGTGTGCGTTGCCTAGCGACGCCTCGACTTCTGTGCCTGTTTTACATACGGAGTCCAACAGTAATGCATCATGCATTTACGTAATCCAAATCAACATTTTAATGTAAGCCAACAAGAATTTCTGCAAAGAAATGTCCTTTAAATGATTGAGTTAATGAATAGAAGCTCGCAGAAAATATAAATTAAACAATACTGTGGATATGGGTTTATGTCTCGACACAAGAATGCAATGCAAATTCATAACATAAAGAAATTCGAAATTTGGCAAAGTTTATAAATTTGGGGACAATGTAACAGATGAAAATTTTATTCACGAAGGAACTGAGAAGAGATTGAATTATGAGCATTCTTGCTACCATCAAGTCCATAATATTCTGTTATCCACTCTTCTCCATGGGAACGCAAAGATTTAAATAAATAAAACTACAATTGTAGTTGTGTTTTTGCGGGTAGATAATTTGTCAATCATTTACACAAGGAACAATAGATTGAGGGTCTCTGGTAGAAAAGTGTTGGTGAGGACCTATGATGGAGGAAGTTAGAAAAAATTCAAAAATTTTGACATTGAATATATTCATAATTTGTGGGTGGTCCCAATCTTCATTAAATAAAATAAAGAATTATGTTATGGGTGGTGCATGTAGCAAACACAGTTGAGATGAGAAATGTTTGCAATATTTTACTCAGAAGTCTTGAAGAGAGAGAATAATTTCTAGACCAAGGCGTAAATGAAAGGATAATATTGGAACGAATCATACAGGAATATTGTATGACGGCGTTGCTAGAATCATCTGGCTCAGTATAGGAGGTAGTGGCGGTTTCTTGTTAACACAGTAACGGACGCTCAGATTTCATATAGGTGGCATAAATATTGGCCAGGTGAGCGACTCTCAGTAAGGATAAAAAGTGTTGTCTCCTGCCGACGTCCGATGTTAAATTAGATTGTACGTTTTAGAACTGGATCCACCGATTATGGCCGCTGACCTTGTAAGAAGTGCCCAGTATGCGGACCACTCAATGAAGGTAGGAAGGAGTTTCCATCGGTCAGTACAGTCTGTGTCAGTGCAGCAGTGTGAAAGCCTGATATTGTTGTCTTCTGACTTTGCTGTGCTAACAACATGACACCTGTTTGTTGTAATCTCATTTCTGATCATTGATAACGCCTCGTATCACAACACTCAGATAGACAAACCACCGACGTACTAATCAAAGAAGGACGAAATGAAAGCCTGGCTCTTGGAAATAATGATCCCATTTTGTAACAACGTGTTGAAAGCTCAACTGTACGATTTAATCAAATTAAATAAGTCAAAACACAAATATTATGTGATTGATTAGATTTTAGCAGACAAAGAACGTACTGTGCTAAGACTTCCGCCGTACTATCCCGATTTAAACCCCCATTGAACTTATTTGGGCAGACGTAAAACAATGGGTTGCAAGCAAGAACACAACATTTACAATTAAGGACGTCGAGCACCTGTGTCGCCAGAAATTCGAAGATATTTTGCAAGAGGAATGGCATAATGTATGCCAGCATGTGGAAAAATTTATTACGAGCAAGAAGGCATAATCGAAGACGCTATTGAACGTATTATAATTGAAGATAATGGAGTGAACAGCAGCAGCGGTAGTGATGAATCGAGTGATGTCAGAAAGCGATGGTCTGTAAGGATTGAAAGAATTGAAAGAGGACCGAAGAGTTGTGTAGAAGATAAAATTATCTAATACTCTCTGCAGTGTTAATTTTCTAGTGATGTGTAGTGTAGTGAAATCGAGTTTTCTATGTTATATACCGTGGTGATATTTTATTTTGAGTGTACTGTACGCGGCCTGCTGCCGTCCATTCCAGCAATCTTCTGGTAAGTGACTCGCTCCGAGGTTAGAATTCACAAAGTTCAGCGGCCAAAAACGCTGGAACGCAATATAATACAGAGAGTGAAGCTGGTATGTAGTATTGAATTATGGACCTTTAAAAATCTGTCCAGAATAAAACCTCGGTGTACCTCAGTTCAAAGCTCTGTGTACGTGACGAACCCAGAGCACACTGACTTTAGTACGAATGATAAGAACTTCGTTTACATATCCTTCAGAAGTTGGGTCTTATTGCATATTCTTATTACGTTTACTACAAGGACGAATACTTCGTGAAGAAATAAATAAGCAGTTGGGAAGCGATAGATCTGCCGAACCACTCCGAATAAGAGATTCGACGACTTCGATTTTCGCACTTCTTACAGTTCAATCTTTATCCGTTTCTTCTTTCCTTACATTTCTGCCTTAAGTTCATGTTTTCCATCTTAACCTCCCTACCCAGTCCCACAGATTTGTATGCCAGACCGGCAAGGCTTTAATGCTTCCACCAAGAATGATTTTCTATCGAAGAACCCAGACACTGATCTAATATTCTGTACCTCGAACCTGTATTTAAGATTTTGAGTGTGTAGAATATTATGATAGAAATATCGTAAGACGGATGGCGACGATGTCCTTGAATCCAAGCACCACCGGATAAAGTCGTGGAGAGGGAGTGAATGTTAATCAACACGAATTCTAATATCTTTAGTGGAAGGAGGTAAACCATTCGATTAGAGGCATGATGTGCCTCAGACGAGGTATAAAGAGATGTGACATCCCTGCAGGGGGAAATCCTAAACTCTGTTCTGCAGTCCACAGTCATAAATCGTCCTAGAAGTAGTGTAAATTAATTTGTTGTTTCTTTTTATTTAACTATCAACTGCCGTTTTGAATAGCATTCGGCGTGACTGGCTTTAAAATAAACAAAGCAAACGACGACATAAATCTTCGCAGTGAACACGATTCGAGCCAGTGATCCCAAGTACTACGGCATTTTGATACAACGCCGCACTTTGAACTTCAGGTCAAGGTCATGGTTGGCATGTTCATAATTATACACTGAGCGACTCTTAAAGAGGTCCGTAAGTCCTCGGAATACGATGCAAACCAACCCTTCACAGGCAAATGTTTACTGAATATAACACATGCTTCAACGATCATTAAATAATTTTGTGATTATGGTTTTTGTGTGATTCACACTGTAAGAAACATAACTAGATGATCTTTATAATGGTAAAGTTTATGCCTAGTGTGTTCTTTGCAGTACGGACTGATTTAATAAATATTATTTGCGTGAGTCACGGTTTCAAAGGGTGAAAAATGCACATTATTTTATCGTTTGTCATATTCGAACTCACAGTACCTCCCAGGAAGCCTCATATTCTGCCTGTTCTATTCTTTCCCCTTTCATTTCTTTCTTGGTTTATTTAGCAACGTTATTTATTTGTCCTTGCAGGGAAAAGTGTAACGTCACTAAACATAACTTTTCAGAAGAACAAAGCCCGTATGCGCGGTAGTGTACTTAGCGCAGAATTTCATAATGTTCCTGAACGAAATATGTCGTGATTTAGTGAATTTACTTGATCCATTTAATAAAGACGGCTTTACGATTCACTTGTCTCATTTTGACCAATTTTGTAACTTAATGGTATCTTCTATTGAATCACAGATAACTTATATCTTAACCGCATTTCTGCCTTATGTGGAATTACCAGTGAAAATAAACATGTAGTGACATCTGTTGCCAGATTGAGGTTACAATTCACAATTTAAAACAATGTGGAGACAAAATGGTCTTCCTAATGACATTCTCAGCATGGAAGGTGTTAACAGAACCAATTCTTACGAAGATTGATCAGAATATTCGGCTACATCGTTATCTGCAATGGAATTGAGAGGGGTTTATGCTCTTAGATGTCATCATGTAGACAGGCAGTGCCTCAGGATTACTTACGTCTATCCTTGAAGTCAGTTAGAAACGCCTAACTGAGATTGATGATCGTCATAGTACTGTAACACGAGAAAACTTCATATAGTTGAATGACTGTATACAGGCAGGCTGTAATTTTTCATTTCGCATGTTTAATGAAAATGTACATAGTTAAAATTTGTTGATTTTTGAATAATTAATGTAGATTTGCATTGTTAATAGAGCTGTCTAATTTTTTGTGTGTTGTAAGTCTTCGAACAAATAATCCGAAACCATTTATTAGTGTCTTCTTAATTCCAACAAAATAATTATATTACATCGTAAGTTTAATCTTTCGTCTCGATTTGATTTTAAAATAGAAATACTGTTAATTGGTTTATTTTATATGCGCTCTTTGATAAAGACCGTGTGTAAGACGTTTTGCGGGCAAATGTTCAGATCATTAAATTATAATACCAATTTGTCAAAACTTCGAATGAATTAGCATTGAATAAAAAGGAGTTGACTTGAATTTTCATTTATTTCTGTCAAAAATCAAACTTAAACCAAACCACCTTATTGCGAGAGGACCCAGGTGCCTTGTCAGAAATGAAGCCCCTAGATTACTTGATGAGAGTTGTCGTACAGCTTGTGGGGGTGGTGATAGATGATTTTGAATCAGTAGTGAAATGATAACGATGGACTCGGAGAAGAACCTATTCCATTGCTACGTTATGTCAAAAATCTTACACATATTCACTCTTGATTAAATCTGAGCCTGCAGAGTTTTAAATTGTAAACTGAATCCTCACTTGTTTTCATACCCTGCGGCGGTGCTAAAGTTCTAGCAGGAGATTTCGGTAAAGTAACTGTGTTACTAAAGATAGAATGACCAAAACAGACGTATAAACATTATATTATAAAATATTAACCTTATGTATACACATCTTTTGGGACATTATGGTTGGAAAGCTGGAGGAGACTATTGGGAGATCAAAGAATAGATGGGAAGATAACAGCCTATTAAAATGGTTCTTAGGGAAATAGGACTGGATTTATCTGGCTCAGAACAGGTAACGGTGTCAAAATCTTCAGAGCATGGCAATGAGCATTGTG